CAACCCACTGCAGCAGGGGCTGCAGCTTACGCCGTCCCCGGCAACTCATGGCAGCCCAGCTCCAGGTTGAGCTGTTGTTCAGCATCTTAGCTGTAGAGGGCAGTGTCACTGGCCCTCATATGTGGGATCTGAACCGGGGCCCTCTGGCATCCCAAGCCAGTTCTTAACCAACGCCCCACTCGGCCAGCCCATAAAATTTTATTTTTAAGAGAAAATTATATTACAGCATCTTTATGAGCTCAGCTGGAAAAAAATACTTAAATTATACAAAAAGCACAAACTAAAAATTGAGAAATCTAATTACATTACAATTAAAACTTCTACTCAAAAAAATTACCATCAATAACCAAGACTAAGAAAAGATATTGACTACACACCAAATTGAAATCTATAATAGAATATCTAAAGAACCCATATAAATCAATAAAAAAGATAAACACCTGAACAAAACCACAAATACAGGATATGAACAGGCAAGCCACAGAAGAGAAAATCCAATGAGTCAATACCATATAAAATGATAAATACCTTTACTAGTTAGTAATCAAAGAAATGAAAATTATAAGTCACCAATTCACACTTCCCACATTACCAAAATGTAAAGAGTGTGCCCATACTACAATTCTATATATAGAAAGAACATTGTCATATTGCAGAAAGTTGTGTTGGGTAGCACTGGTCTAAATTATGCACTGTCTCTTCCATTGGTTTGGCTGCATAAGGTTATAGAACTCTGCATTTTAATATCAATGCTTCCTGTTCAAAGGCTGAAGTTTCAGCCATTTCAAGAAGCTGTATCTTCCCACTCAGCTGCAATCCATGCTCACAGGGAATTGGTTTAACATGATATTAGAATCCATGTACAGCATCGTGAGAAAAAAATAAGTTTAAACAACACCACTCTTTTTGTTGCAAAGGCTGGTAATAAAATACTACCAAATGCTTCCCCAGTTCAGAGACCTTTGCAGGGCTTAAAGGGAGTAGGTCAAAGCCACTTAATGTCCTTCAGCAGTAACATACACCTTAAAAGTAGAAGAGTATTAAGGTTGAAGAAGCTGAGGAAGAAAATTTCTTTGGAGAAAGCTGTTGGAAACCTGACATTTTCTCTCACCAACAACAGAGGAGGGATGAGTATGTTTGCCGTACCCTCTAATCTAGTAAGAACTTGAAGAAGACAACTTGGTTGATATATGTCTGCTAAAGTTTGGGGGACACAGAGGACTTTGCACCTGATTCATATCTAGAAAAACTTTATCGGTGACAGGCAGGCTGAGGCTGAATGTGGCACAGGGGTTGCACAGGGGGCGAAGATCAAGGTGCAGGTCCCACCACACACACACACACACACACACACACACACACACACACACACACACTCCATGAGCCAGATATGGACCCTCTGGATATGAAGAGGGCTGAGTTACTTTGGAAAGGGGGTTTTCGGCTAGCATCAAGGTGATCTCAGCAAAAAGATTGCAGGTATACAATGGGGCTGGGGAGTGGGGGTGAGAAGGAGAAAATGTTAAACAACTTGTTGGAAAGGAGACACTGCTGTGCTATGAGGAAACTGTAGACTGGGGGCCCTAGCTAGGGCATCACCAAGGAAACCAAAAAAGTACCAAGGACAGGAAGAACTGGTCTTTGGAATCTGCAACATGTGGAGGGCACCAATATCAGATTGCATTTTTATCAGTTAGGTCAAACTATTTTTGTCCTTTGTAGCTCCTTCCTTCCTCATTTGCTTCACCCAAGGAGTCAGAGATGGCCTATTTGTTGAGTGGGGGGAGGTGAGACAGAGGGAGAAGAGCTAGCTAAGAGAGTACAGAAAGGAAAAGCTGAGCGTGCTTCCTCTGCAACTCAAGACTTCCAGCCTGAAGCACTAAAGCATGCATTAAGCAGGGGACAGATCTCCCTTTAAATGAAGTTGCCTGTTTTCACTACTACATGCAATCAGACTTTTTAAAAATTAAAATGAGACTACCACTGACTTTCAAAATAAAAAGGATAATAAGGGAATATTATGAACAACTTTATGCCAATAAATGTGATAATTAAGGTGACATGAACAAACACCTTGAAAGACACAAATTACCACTGTTCATTCAAGAGATAATCTGAATAACCCAGTATCTAATAAAGAAATTGAAACTGTAGTTTAATGCCTTCCCACAAAGAAAACCCCAGTCCTAGATGGCTTCACTGGGGAATTCTATCAAACATTTAAGGAAGAAATAATTCTAATTCTATACAAATTCTTCCAAAGAACTGAAGAGGGGAGGGAATACTTCCCAACTCATTCTATGGCTTCATTATCTTGATTGTGGTGATGGATTCATGGGTGTGTATATGTCAAAACTTATCAAATTGTGCACTTTAAATATCTGCAATTTCTTGTATGTCAATTGTACCACAGTAAAGGTGTTCAGGCAGCTAAATCAGTACTTAGAGACAGTCATAGCATTCACAATATTAGAAAAGGAAGCTATCAAATTAATGATCTAAGCTTCCACTTTATGAAAGTAGGAAAAGAGAAAATTAAATTCAAACTAGCAGAAGGACAGAAATAATAAAGATAAAAGTAAGAACGAATGAAATCGAGGTTCCCATTTCTGACCACAATGGAGTATGTCTACTACAGCCTCTCTCTTCTACTGATTATTGCAACTAAAAACCCTGAACAACATATGTAAAGCAAGTACTTGGGGATTCTGACAAGTAATCAAAATCAGGCATACTCTGAAGGTAAGTCAAAAAGTGGAAAAGCAGCCCATGTATCGGTTTCTTTTCTGTCCCCACTCTCTTTTGTCCCAATGGCATATGGACCTCCACAAGACATGAGCTCACCCAAGGGCTGTGCATGCAAGGGAAAGCAAAGCCTCATACCAAGGTTTTAAGAACTGAACTAAACTAAGATTTAAACCATAGCTCAAGTCTGAGACCAACATCTGAGTGACACATGCATGAGACAGACTTGAAGCAGGATAGCAAAGCCTTTGAAACCTGCACAAAGACTTAAATCACCACTCAAGTCTCAAACTAATCCCTGCATGGTGCATACACAGCACAGACCCAAAGGAACACAGCAAAGGCTTTGAAAGCTGAACTGATTGTAATCAACACCCAGAGAAGGTGAGACAAAACTCGTTGTCTGAATGTAACCAGGTTTATTACATGATAAACAAAGATGAAAAACAACAAAACAATCACCACTATTTAAGACAGAATCCAAAGTTATTCAATGTAACAAAGAACCGGCAAAATAAAGAAGCTAAAAATAAAAATTTAACAGAAGTTCTGGAAGAGCTGGGGAGTAGAAGGCCAATGTGTAATTGAGCTAAATCTTTATCTTACTTAGAAGGTAACTAAAACTGAAGACTCCAGAAATGCAGGTGTAGGGTATTCCCTGAACCCAGGAAGGTGCTCATCAGGAGAATTAAAACCAGAGACTGTGAGAAGAGGCTGTCCTTGGAGGTGTGACTGGAAATGCACTAGGATTACTCTATATCCCATACATTCTGCACTCCTACACTAATATGAGTCCCCATTACTTTTAATATTGAGCAGTTTTTGTATAAGGGAATTGGGACTCCAAGGCTGGATTGTGCCTCTAGTTCACTTTTCCTCCTTCCAGGATACCACTGAAATGAGAATGAGACTCACAGTCATTATAATCCCTTGAAACACTCGAAGTAGGAAAAAGCATGCCATCAGCACACCAGAAATCCTGATGAATCTCTACAGTGCAGCAGATATGGGAATGACTGAGCAATAAAGAGGAAATTGTAGCTCAAAATGTCCCTGGGAGAAGCTACAGGGAGGTGGGTGCACGCCCATACAGGGAGGCTCTGAGAGAGTGGGTGCCACTGCCCAACAGGCATGGGCTGTGGGGAAGCCACCTGGAGTCAGCTGGGTGAGTCTGACTGCAGATGGAGCTCTAACATTAATCTCTAACAGCTGCTGAAAAGCAGATTCAGATTCAGGGAGTCTGAGGTGGCCCCAAGAGTCTGCATTTCTACCTAGAGCCTGCTACCTCCAGGCTGCTGGTCTATGCACCACATGGAACAGTACCAGTGGTCTAGATAGACTTCTTTGGGATGGCCCCACTGAGTGGCCACTGTGAGTGGGAGAGACAAAGAGGAACACTAATATCTGAAGAGTTTCTGTATTCCCAGAAGGGGCCCAGAGCAAAAACAATAAAACAAACAGACAAGCAAAAATGTAGCTCTGCCCAGGACTGAGATTCCGCTCACTGAAGCCTGCCACCATGGAGTGATGTCCTCTCCAGTTTAGCTCTGTTTTGAATAAATAGATAATACAAAAGACAAAAGAGTTGAGTGGGAGGGAAGTACTGATAAGAGGAGGAATCTGAAAACAGGTGTCATCAAGTCAGCTTTGGGAGAATCTGAGAGGAAATAAGAAAACAGAGAACTATGTGAAAGTTGACACTGTTCATTCTCAACATGAGGGCAGACAAAGACATGTGGGTACCTGGCCTGGTAGAGTTGAGTTCACTATCAAAGCTTTTTTGTCCACACCAACTCCAATAAACCATATTTCTCTGAGGTTGAACACAAGGCTCCAAGTCTCAGACTTAAAGGATCCAAAGTATGCCAAATAAAGAGGAAACATCACACCTGCATCTACTTCGCTTTTGATGAACGTGCAAATGCCCAAGAGAGGGAGAAAGTCTACAAACTTCCCGAAAGGAGGTGAGAAGGCAGGAGAAAAGGCTTGGCACTTCTCACGAGCCAGCCAGGATGCAGGAAGGTAGAGATGGGATCTAAGGAACAGCAGTGGCAGCACCTTGTCTGAACCCCAGAAAGAACAAGGGGCCTGTAGAAGGGCAATAGGTGGAGGCACCCTGTGAATATCACAGCAACTTGCTCCATTAGACCTGAGTTGTGTCCCCAAGGCTGAGGGTTCTAAGAGCTCCTGGGGCTAAGCTCTCACTGCCCAGCGAGGTTCCCCTCCCCTGTCCTGACTGGCTGGTGTGTGCTCACCTGGACAGCTCCACATTGTGGGTTCTCCATCTGCCCTCCTGGCCTCTTCTTGTCCCAACCTGAAGATCACATCCGGTTTGGCCACCAGGTATCCTGTGGAGAGGAAATGACACAGGACTTCGTTATTAATGCTGGAAGCAGTCCAAAACTGAGGCCCATTCTTGCAGTCTGAAGATGGTCTGGCCTTGGTGACTCTCATGAGCACCACTATTTGCCCCTTATGCAGAACATTCACAGAGAAGGTGAGAGCACAGACATCCTATACAGGGTGTAAATGGGATTATGAATTCTTGACAGTGAGCTTTAGGGCCAAATTCTTCAGGGCTTCAGATGTCCCTGAGCATGCAGCAAATGAGAGAGGGAGACACGAGTGGAGGCATTCTAGTCACACCGTGGAGTGCTCCCTCACCCACAGAGACCAGGTGGCTGTAGTTCTCCAGCATGACATCCCTGTAGAGGTTCTTCTGAGTAGAGTCCAGCTGCTGCCACTCCTCCAAGGTGAAGTCCAGAAACACGTCCCTGAAGGTCAACAATTCCTGCAACGGCACATTCCTCTTAAGCCCAGATGGATAGGCTCAGGGGACTGGACATAGGCAACGTATATAGAGTGCCTAATCTGTATCTATCCTAAGGGTTTCGATCCTTGCCCCCACCCAGAACCCTGACAGATGAGGACACAAAGGCACTCAGAGTGTAAAGTTACTCGCCCAAGGTCACATAGCTAGGAATTAGGGATTCAAATCCATGCAGTCTGGTTTCCACACCCACATTTTTAAACATGACACTGCATTGCCTTTCTCTACATAATTGTTCTTATGCTGTCCACTATCGGCAATTTGACATCGTATAGGATATAGAGTGTTTATGTAACAAAACTATTTTAAGCTTTATGGAAAAACAGATCAAGTGTTAGAAATATCTTACCCTGGAAATTTGTTCTTTCAACACATATTTATTGAATAGTGCCCAAGCTGATAAGTTGTGAGGATGTAAAGATTAATAAAAACAAACACTTCCTGAACTAAAGGAGCTTGGTCTAATGGAGGAAAAAGAACAACATTTACACATTCATATATGAGATGGAGGGAGAGAGGGCTGCTTGCCCTATGAGGGTCAATGACAGAGGCAGGACTAGGAACAGAGGGGAAGAAGAAGTCAATTCTCTTTGGGGCTGACACAGAAGGCTTCACAGGGGATATAGAACTAGAACAGTTCTAAACACAGCTACTCAATCATGACTGTGAGACAATAGAAAAGATATATATTGTTCTCTGCTCCTGGTTGCTGGCACAGAGCTCCTAAAACCCTTGTATTTTTTAAGTGATAAAAATACCAGGATCATTTTTTGTTCTAATATTTGTCTTTAAACCATCCCTGACACAGAGCTCCTGAAACCCTTGTAAATTCCTAAGTGATAAGAGTACTAGGAGCATCTTTTGTTTTAATGAGGTGCCTCTGGGTGGGCTCCTGGATGGGGGCTGCTCACCAGAACGACCAAACCATGTTTAGAAGCCTGGAATTTTCAGCCCCAACCACCATCCTTCAGAGAGGGGTGCAGGGCTGGAAATGGAGTTAAAAATTGAACATGCCTACGTGAGGAAGCCTCCATGAAATCCATACAGTGGGGGATTCAGGGAGCTTCCAGGTGGGTGAACACATCCACATACTGGGAGTGTGATGCACCCCAACTCCACTGGGACAGAAGCTCCTACACTCAGAACCCTCCCAGACCTCACCCTGTGTATCTCTTCATCTGGCTGTTCATCTGTATCCTTTATCACATCCTTTATGTGTTTCCCTGAGTTCTTTAAGCCGCTCTAGCAAATTAGCCAAGATGAGCAGTCACTGAAACCTCCGATCTACAGCCAGTTGGTCAGAAGCACAGGTCATAAACTGGGCTTGTGACTAGCATCAGAAGTGTGTGTGTGTGTGGGGGGGGCAGTCTTGAGGGACTGAGCCCTTAACCTGTGGGATTTGATGCTATCTCCAGATAACTAGTGTTGGAACTGAGTTACATTGTAGGACACCTGGTCACAGAGAATTCCTTGTGGGGAAAACCTCCATGTATGTGTTGCTCAGATGTGTCAGAAGTGAAGTGCTCTGTATGGGTAGTAAAGGAGACACATAGAAGAAACACAAGAAAGAAAGACACAGTAGGAAAGGACTGGTTTTTCTCCTATACAGAGGGAGACTGCACTGGGTTTTTCCTTTACAATAACCAAAAGTTCTAATCTTAGCTAATCAATTGTGAGACAAGAACAGGAAGCCAGAGAGTCTGTAGCTGGCCTCATCAGCAGATTGAGGTAGTAAAAGGAAAGTCTATGTTTGGCTTTTCACCACCAAACAGGAACTCACTTTTCTAGTGCATCAATTCCAATAACCCACCTATTTACACTCTGCATCCCATCCTGTCACACCCATACTTGTTGGTCTTAAAATCAAGGAGACATTTTGCACTCACAAGGCCCCAAAGGGCACCAGTTTTACTTAGCTCTGTGGAAGGATATGAGACAGGAAACAGTGTGCAGAAGGGCAGTTACACACATATGTTGCCCGCAGTTCTCAGAGCAGCTCACTCCCTCCTCTCACCCCTCCCAAATGAGAGCGCTCAGGTGCTAGGGACCATGACCACACTGGTGAGCACAGGGGGCCACCTGGCTTAGAAGCCCTAAGCTGTCAAAATTCAATATGTATATAGACTTTGACCTAGAAAGTTATCTTCCAGATCAGACATACTTAATGGATACAAACTGAAATTTATATCAATATGTACTGCTATGCTGTTTATGGCATCAAAAGGCTAGAAATATCCTAAATGTACATCCCTGGTAGAAAGGTAAATATATAATGGTATTTCCAGCCAATGGAATATCAAGCAGCCATTTTCATAAATGGGGTACAACCTTAGGTGATTTTGTCCTCCAGGGAACATTTGGCAATGTCTGTAGAAATTTTTCATTTTCATGACGAGGTTGAATGGGGGTGCTGACATCAAGAGGGCAGAGGTCAGCAATGTTGTTAAATATCATCCAATGCACATGGAAGCCCTCTATAACATAGCATTATCCAGCCTAAAATGTCAAGAGTGCCAAAATGAGAAAACCTGGGGTGACCAAATACATAGTGAAATGGAATGATCATGAAAAAGACCAAAATGTGCTGTAATATATAAAAAAGAAATAAAAAAGAAAAGGGGTTCTTATATTGAGATACACAGATATGCATACACGATCTCTGGAAGAGTGCATAGAAAATGAAGGAGACAGGCACAGGATAAGAGGGAGAATTATTTTTCACCTTTTGTTGAAGACAGCTTTTGTTTGAGTTTTTTACCATGTCTACAAATTACTTTTTTAAATGCTCAATTCAATTTATGAATGCTCTATTCAGAATGTTTCTAGAATTTTGGCATGTGTATTCTTAAGTGAAAATGGTCTATAATTTACATTTTTGTAGTATCTTCTTCAAATTTAAGGTTAAGTGGTTTCATAAAATGAACTGAATTCCTTTTTCATAATGTAACAGCTGGGAAAAGTTAAACATAGAAATGATATGGTTTTTAAAATTTTGTGAAAGTAGTAATTAGTCTAGGATTTGAGAGGGCAAATTTGAAGTGTGACCACCTTTGACTTAAAATTCCAATTTCCAGGAGTATTCTCCATAAATACCTGTACTATTGGACAAACAGATATGTAGAAAGTTGTTCAAGAGGCACTGTTTATAATAGAAAAAGAGAGTTAAAAACCTAAGTTTCCATGAATAGAGAGAAGGTTTAATGATATATCCATGCTATGAAATAGGAACTAAAATAATCTTTATGTATTGATGAGGAACACCACCCAGCATATAATCAGGTGGGAAAAGCAAAATGAGTATGGGAGTAGGATGTCATTGGTGCAAACACACACAGGACATTATGCACGTATCTGTTTTTAGTTAATTAAACTGACATCAATGCATCCATACCACATTATCACCAAACTGTTAACAGTGGGCATGTCTGAGGAAGAACGTTGTATGGGGGGTTGGGGAGAAGAAATGGGATGTTTTGGCTACTATTTTATATATATATATTAAAACATTAACAATGGATTTACTTTCAAATCATTTTAAACATAATGTAAAAGCAAAAAGTGAACTGGAAGTGAAGAAATGGGAGAAGTAAGATGAGTCTACGTATTTAAACATCTTCTCTGAGAAGGAAAAGAAAAAAGATGAGGTGCATTTCCCAGAGGAAGAAGTAAATGAGAAGAGTCTTTGTCTTTATTTCTTTTCCTATTCTTTACCTGTGGGGAGGGTAAGGAATGGAGAATCCCAAGGTGGATTACAGGTTGAACAGAAAACGGCCAGAGCAGAGGGGATTAACAGATTTTTCAAGGTTACAATATAGATTCCCATGGCTGCTTCAAGTTCACTGGAAACAAAGTAGGGGGTAAATGAGGAACTCACCTGGGACATGGCCATCCTGTTCTGCCCTGGAAAAGGATGGAGATCTACAAAGTCAGAATTAGGAGGGTTGAGATCAGTGCATACAGCCATGAGACCATCATCACCAGCCTAACAATAATCACCCTGGCACCCTGGGTAGAATAATCTGGAAACATGGCCTGGTTGCACCAGCCTGTTCCCTTGAGATGCTGCTAAGCACATGTGGATTTTGCATGTGGAATTTTTTTCACTTCCAGGACAGATGTATAACTTGTGTTTAAAAACATCTACTCAGGGGCCGGCCGAGTGGCGCTATGGTTAAGAACTGGCTTGGGACACCAGAGGGTCCCAGTTCGGATCCCACATATGAGGGCCAGAGACACTGCCCTCCACAGCTAAGATGCTGAACAACAGCTCAACCTGGAGCTGGGCTGCTGGGAGTCGCCAGCGACGGTGTAGGCTGCAGTCCCTGTGGCAGTGGGTTGCCATGGGCTACCGTATGTGGCCAGTAGCCAGCTTGAGCGGCCAGCAGCCGCTGTGAGCGGACGTCCAGAAGCTGGCGACTGATGTGCCTCGCCCGGGAAGAGCGCAATGATGGTGCCAACTTGGGCCAGTGAAGCAACGTCCTCCACAGCTAGACTGAAGAACAAAAAATGACAGCAACTTATCTGTTCCCCTTCCCCCAATTCCCCAGCACTGTTCCCATCCCCTCAATTCCCTAATAAAAATCTTTAAAACAAACAAACAAACAAAAATCTACTCAGGAGCTATTAATAACCCAACACCTCCTTTCTCTCAATAATTCTATTCCTGGAAATTTATCATACAAAAGCAATTATAAATGAGCACAAAGCTGCAAGATGTTAACTGTAGTTGTTTCCACCATTCAAAAATCTGGAAGCAACTAAACCTCCAGCAAATGGGACTCCATTAAAAAATAAGAAACACAAAATGGGAATACCATGTGAGCTTTAAAAATGCTATGAAATCTTGTTTTCATTTCTTAACATGTTAAAAAGCAGGTAACAAAAGAGCAACTGCAGTGCGATCTCACTTGTTAAGGAGTATGTACGCACCAAGGAAGAGCAGTCTAGAAGAGCATTTATTAAAATGTTGACAGTTACCTTTGAGTGGTGATTTCACCTTTCCTTTTCTGTTTACTTGCATTTTATCATTTTGACAGTGAATATTACTAGTCAAATAAAAATGAAAACTTATTACAAATCACCCATTATCACACTGAGCTCTACAGGTGATAGCCCCTGAGCAAAGTCTTGCTGTGGTTTGGAGGAAGGAGACCAACCAGGCCTGAGAGGGCTGGGAGGTGAGGAGCCCAGCACTGGTCACTAGTCAGTTCCAATGGAGTTGACCTTGCCCCGGCACCCTCCACCCTTCATTGCCCCACCCCCACCCTGTTCCCACTCCATCCCTTCCCCCTTTCCCATGATTCCATTTGCTGGCCATGCTCTTCCTTGTTGGGCAGTTTTGAAAAGAAAGGTTCGGCAAAGAGCTTTTGTGCAGAGTAATGGTTGTTACTGTAAGCAATCCCTATGGCAACACTAGAACTGAAGGATTCAGCGCCTTTAGCTTAGGAAGTCATGTTCTCAGGCCTCGTTACAGGAGCATCAAAAGGAGGCAGCAGAACTAGATGACAGCATACCTAGAGAGGATTCTGAAATTCCACAAATTAAAAAACAAACTAACCTAAAAACAAACAAAACTATTCTGAACTTTAGGCAGCGTAGAGAAGACTCAACATTTCTGTTAGAGGCAGGTGGGATATTCCTACCACGGGACTGACTCAAATGCAGAAATATTCAATGGTAAAAGAAGGGAGCATAGTGCTGTGCGTACAAGTGTGTTAGGAGAGGCGAAAGCCCTGTGAGGCTAGTAGTGATCCTTCCCAGCCTGATCCTGCCCTTGCAGGCAGTGCCCCTCCAATGGTTTGTAACTTCCATCTCTCGCCTCCAATAGGGGTCCAACTGCCCATTGTTACCCAGTCCTGCATGATGGCTAGAAGTTGAGCCAGCATGTCAGCCTTGCTCTCTCTCAGCTGGAGGGAGGCACAGAGGCCACTGTAGGTCCAGCTGTTCTAGGACCTCCTGTCCTGTGAGCCTCCTCACTCTTCCCTGGGCGTCTGGGTCTGGGCTCTGGGCTGAGGCTTCTCCGCCAATTGCCCTCACAGGTGCTCTCTGGTTCCTGAGGAGGCAGGACCGATGGATTCAAACAGAAATGCATCTCAGCTGGGACCATCACTTCAGCACCTGATCTCTGCCTCTGACCCCAGGCACTCACCTTCTTCTGAGGCCTCAGACTGGGTCTTCTGTAGACTAAGGAAGCCCAGCGCAGATTAACTGGAGTCTGGGCAATGGTGAGCAACGCTCTCAGTTATGGACCCTGACCCTGGAAAAACAAGGACCACACAGAAGATGCAATGAGCAACCTCTGTGATGGAGTGAAGTTGAGGAAAGCCCAAATGTTTTACTTGACACTAGGAGGCACAGTGCCTCATTCTAGTTTTAAAAGGTAACATTTAGTAAGAGCTTAATGTTCGCTGGACCAAGAGCTAAGCACTGCTTTATTTCGGAAGAGTCTGGGCTCGAACCAAGCTGACTGCCTGCTGTGCCGCTTTTATTTATTCAGTAAAAAAGGTGAGTGCCTACTATGTACCTGTTCTACTTTGTTGTGTTGGAGATGCATCAGTGAACAAAATATCAGAGTTCCCCAATCTTGCCGAGCTATGGTCTAGCAGTGTAGACAGTAAGCAACAAACTTGATAAATAAGTTTAGAGTACATTAAAAAGGCATAAGTGCTAGATGAAAAAAAAAAGGATCCCCCGGTTTACCAGCTGTGTGACTATGGACAGGTTTCTGAGCCTTTCTGTTCTTCCTTCCTCTAAATAAGATGAAGATAATCGTAGTACCTATTCAACAGGGCTATTGTGAAGCTTAATGTGAAACTCAACGGTGCCTCGCATTTACTAGGCACTCAGTAAATGGTCGGTGAATGAATCACTCAATCACTAGCTGACCCCCACAGTCCGTCCCCCAACACTCACCCCACAGCCCTGTCACTCAACCCCCAGGGGCGCAAACACATCAGCACAAGGCCCCTCGGACCCACCGCATCAAGCGCATCCCCATCTCCGCCTCCCCTTACTTCGTTCCCAGGAATCCACAACGCAGGGTGGAGAACCGCAGGCAGTGGGATTCCCACTGCCCTCGGGGTCAGCAGAGCACTTCCGCTCCGTCACTGTCACCCCGGAGCAGGAGTTCAGAGCGCAGCGCACGCGCAGGATCGGTGCCCGGCCCCGCCCACCCCCATCTCCGCCACCAATTGCCAACATGGCGCCTTTAGGGGACAATAAGTCTGACGTGGTTCCCTCAGAGGCTAGATGGAGCGACAAGTGCATGCGACCATTTTTCGCGACGAGTCGCACAAAAAGCCGGGGAGGCATCTCCAGGCGGCAAGAGGCGAGCTGGCTAATCCAGCAGCCTGGGTCACGCCGCCTCCGAGGTCCAGGCCCCCTCACCCCATTCGTCCTCCTGCGCGTCCGGTCCCTCTTGTCGCCGTCCCCGCTCCCAGGGGAGTTCGCGTCCCTTCATCTCCCTCAAAGCCACGCTTTCCGCTTCCTCCAGCTACTCGGAATCAGAACAGTGGTGCCTGCTGTGGTCCACAGCCGCACGTGGGGCGGGGCCCGGGCGGGGGGCGGGGCCCGCCCCTCAGGGCTTGCCTCTCCTCTCAGGCGCAGGGGTCGGAGGGCAGGGGTCAGGGTCAGTCGGGTAAGTGTCCTGGAGGAGGGGCTGGGAGCTGGGCTGGGGGGCCAACAATGTGCACAAATGAGGGAGAAACTCTGATGCCTGATTTCCTGAAATAAATCGAGGAGCTCCAATTTCTGGGAACCTGGGTGTCCTGGGAGAACCTGGCTTTTGCTCTTTCGAAAACTCAGCATTAAAGTAGCAGAGAGCTGTTCTCTCTGAGACTGCCTGCCTGTGGCACCATGGTCTGCTAAAAAGGCCTGTAATGCAATTGAGGAAAGTTCTCTGTTTCCTGTCAGGGTCTGGGGGAAAGAGGCCAAGTGTGTGCTGTGTGCTTCTTGTACCTGCCTGTTCACCAAGTGGAACTCCCTAGGCTGGCCACTGCAGGGTCTCAGCTCAGATACAGCCCGATTCCTGTGCTAGAGTCAATGCTTACCAGGCACTTTTGAGATGAGCATGTGACAAAACCAATCATGGAATCCATCACACATTCATTTAATCTTCCATCTGAACATATTGGTTTATCCTTCTCTTTCTCTTTCCCCTCTATGAGTTAACTAACATTCTGCAGGTGCTTTGAATGACTCAGCCCAAATCTGCAACCCAGAGTTTTCCTGGAAGTAACTGACCAATCCTTATATAGAAGATGCAGGAGAAGAGTCCATTTTCTGTGAGGTATGTGAATGGGGAATTGCCCCACCCACTGTGAAAATCTTTTGCATTTGTAAATGTGGCCATGTTCAGAGATACTAATCTATTTCTAGAGGACAGGTGACCTGGTAACCTTTTCTGTCATCACAATCACAAGGCAAGAAAAGATTAATAGTATGACAGTGTCCTGAGGACAGTAGAGAAATCCTGGCTGCAGCAAGACCTGGTCTTTGGCTCTGGTCAGATTCTCCCCATATCCCAATTCTACAGGAATAAGTGCTTGCACAGAACAAGAAGGGGCTGATTGTTCAGATGGGGCCTGGTGAAGAGCACTCGGATGTTGCTCATGCAGTGCCAGCATTTCCTAGTGTGACTGTGATATCCAGGAACCAAGAATCATGCCAAGTATTCTTCCAGCCCATACTCTGCCTAGGCTTTGGGAATCTACCAACCCATAGAAGAGAGGGCTTGGCTCTACCACTTACTGGCCCCTTGGGTCTCAGTTTCCTCTCCTATGTCATAGCTGTTGTGACTGTCTCTAAAGTCCCAAGCTCAGGACAGGGCCCATGGTAGTCACCTGGTACCTGGTAGCAGTTTCCATTGTCCTTTCCCACAGCCTAGGAACAAGATGGTGCCATTGCTGTTCCTTCGTGTACTGGCTTCCCCTTCACCACCTTACACAATTGTGCCTGTGCCTGCCACCAACCTTGTCTAGGGTTACCACTCATACCCAACTGAAAACATTTTTTAAAATGGCAATTAAGATTCTAATTCCATTAAAATTCCTTATAAACAGAAAACCCAGAAGACCTGGGTTGCTCAAGCCCTGGACATTCCAAAGAAAGGCCTGTCTCAGGAAGACTGGTCCTCGTCCAGCTCCTGGGAGACTACCACTAAGCCCGTGGAATAGTCTGCTAATAGAGCGTTTTTGTTCTCTAGGCGTTGCTGTTCCATCTGACCAGCTAGTTTATGCTAACAGTGTGACTCGTGGTGAACATCTGTTTTTGTATGCCTGAGGCCCTGGACCATGGTATGTTAGTTTATCATCTGGGGGCTGTAGACAGAGTAGCTAAAGTCAGTCACATGGATGTTGCATGCCTGCCTGACTCACCTCCAATAAAAAGCCTGGATCCCAAGGTGCGGGGGAGCTTCCCTGGCTGGCAACACTTTGTTCAAAATGTCACATTTTGTTTCTGGGAGAAATTAGCATTGTCTGTGTGACTCCTTTAGGAGAGGACCACTGGTGTCTCACAACTGATTTCCATTGGATTTCACCCATGCACCCTTTGTATTTGTTGATTTTACTCTCTATACTTTCAGTGTAATAAGTCATAGCCACGTATATAATATTTCAGAAGGACTCACAGGATCTGAAAAACATAACAGCTTTTCTGCGTTCTGAATACTAGGAAATCATTAAACCTGAGGGTGGTCTTGTGGACCCCCAACACACTGTCGTTACAGATTCTCAGATTGTTATACCATCTCCAGTTTGCATCAACCAACCCAGTGGGTCGGCCCTCTGAACCCAGTTTGACTCTGCCCTTAGCAGTATACTTGCTTGGTGTTTGTCAGGTGGTTGCAGACTGAGCAACAGTACCCAGAGGGCACTGCTGTGCTTTTCCACCTTTGAGAAACAGAGATCCTGAATGCTTGCAGTGGGCAGGAGACGAGCGAACTTGCTTTCTTGCTGTGGTGTAGTGTTCTGCTGAGGCATCTGGGTACCTGCCTCTTCGTGGAGGCCTTCCTTGCAATGACTGTGGTGACAGGCCCATCAATCAATGCCTTGATACAGTTCTCTTTGAACTTCATGAGTTCCTGTATGAAGGTGAAGGCCAGTTGTAAGCATTCTCCTGGCCGGACTACATTGTTCTCTCTGCAGCTGCCCCTGCAGATTTCCACAGGAAAGAGAATATCCAAAGTGAGTGGACCTGGAATAAACAATATGCATATCCACGGCAGGGATCTGGTTGACTGCTCCAATATGATAGCATGAAGCCAATCTCATGGCTGTCTGGTGGCTCAGAGGTTAGAGCTCCAGTCTTTGGGTGACTTTGATAAGTGTGTACACCATGATAAACCCCAAAGGAGGAAGACTTCAGCTAGCCTGAAGCTGATTCTTGTTTTGAAGTTTCTTTCTGTTCTTGAAAGATGCCATATGAAGCCAGCGTATAATAACATATACTGTAAACTTAGACTATGCCACATACTGTGCTATGTTTACATTCATTACTAACTTAAAATTATTACTGGAACCCCTCATTATTATTATATTGCATTTTCCAGATAAGGAGACTGAAGCACACAGATGTTGGGTAACTCACCCAGAGCTTCATAACTAGTAAATAAAGTCAAGATTTAAGATTTGGCAGTTTGGCTCCAAAAACCATACCATTGACCTCTTCACCATTCTGCAGTTATTTCAGCACCCTCATTTAAGAAAAAAAGATCCGGTGGTTACATGACTTGGTCATTTTGTACAGCTAGTAAGTGGCAGAACTCAAACTAGAACGTAGGTCTCCTCACTCCAAATCTCATTCTTTTTGCAGGCTGACATTTTTCTTTTCCCTGTCCTGTGGAGCAGTACATCCCAGACTTGAATGTGCATAGGGCTCCCCTGGGGATCTTGTTAAATTGCAGATTCTGATTCAGTAGGTCTGTGGTGGGCCTGAGATTCTTCATTTCTAACAAGCTCCCTAATTAGTAGGTAGTGGTACTACGCTGGTCCTCACACCACACTGAGTCAAAACAAGGTTCTAGAGACCTTCTGGTTTAGCAGCTGTAATGTCCAAGTAGGAGTTCCTTAAACACACACACGGAGACACAGATGGTGAGTAAGCCATGAGGAATAGGATTGGGGTGCTCTCTTAATCTCAGTACTGAGGCCCCTCAACAACTCCCTTCTGGGGTTGAAGACTCTGAGGCCCATGGAGGGAAAAGATGCTTCAGGGGTTATTAGCAGGCTCGGACTAGGATCCATTCCACTTGACTTCTCAGCCAATGTTCTTCTGTCCCGCATCTCTCCCTCTGTTCTACAGGGGCTCTAGGGGAGGAGATAGTAAAGGAATGTGTATTGTTTATTATGTGTCGGATTATTTAAGACTTTACAGGGAGAATCAGGGTGCTCTCCACTCTGGGCCTCCTTGCCCTCCTCCTTGCTGTACTGAATACTGGACTCAACTGCCCAGGAGTACCCATGTGTACTGAGCCAAGGAGAAAGGTCAAAACAGCTCCTTTCATTAGGTCTGCATGCCCACACATGCACTACCTTGGGGAAAATGGAGCCACTGGGGCTTCTCAGATCCTCAGACACTATTTGTAAGCCCAGTTGCCTGTCCACAAATTCCAAAGACTACTAGTAACTAGATACATGCTATAACTCTTATATTCATCTGGGTAAGCCAAACTACTGGAATAATTAAACCCTAAATATAATGGCTCAGATGCAATCCCTTTCTTGCTCCCAAAAGAATCAACCATGAGCACTGCATATTGACAGGTGGCATTCCTTCATATAAACCCAGTCTGTTGTCATCTCTTTCTTCTTCAACGTGGCTTTCAAGGCACTCTGGTCATCATCATTCCTGGAGGTGAGAGAGAGAATGGAGGAGCACAGGTCAGGAGCCACCACTGGCTTTCAGGATCACCATGGTATACAGAAAGTTAGGAAGTTTTTTCTGCCACTCAGAGGTCAGAAAACCATTGTTGACAGCATGGGTGTACAAGGTAGTTGGATGATTAGCATAGACAGTAGTCTAGTAGGTGCTGCAAAAACTCACATCTGTTGAAGGACACTAGTCTATTCTCCCTGCTAGAGGAAAAGAATGGTGTCTACCTCCCTATCCAGGATAATCTCATCTCAACATTCTTAATTTAATAACATCTGCAAATACCCCCTCTTTCCAAATAAGGTCACATTCACAGGTTCTGGGGGTTAGGATATGGATATATCTTTTTGGGAGGACCACCCGTCCACCAACTACATTAATATAGCTGTACCAACTTTCTTTTGATTAGTATCACATTGTATATCATATTCCATTATTTTCTTTTTCACCCATGTATTTATATTAATGATACATTTTTTGTAAACCACATATAGTTAATCTGCTTTTTAAAATCCTGTCTGACAATTTGAATTTAATGTAATTACTGATATACTTATGTTTCAATATACTTCCTTACTATTTGTTATCTATTTTGTCTCCGTTATTTTGTCTCCTGCCTTCTTTTGGATTAATCAATTCACTTTTTTAAAAAAAGATTTTATTGGGAAATTGGGGGAAGGGGAACAGACAAGTTGCTGTTGTTTTTTGTTCTTCAGTCTAGTTGTGGAGGACGTTGCTTCACTGGCCCAAGTTGGCACCATCATTACGCTCTTCCCGGGTGAGGCAGATCAGTCGCCGGCTTCTGGACGGCCGCTCACTGCGGCTGCTGGCCGCTCACGCTGGCTGCTGGCTACACACGGTAGCCCATGGCAACCCACTGCCACAGGGGCTGCAGCCTACGCCGTCGCCGGCGACTCACGGCAGCCCAGCTCCAGGTTGAGCTGTTGTTCAGCATCTTAGCTGTGGAGGGCAGTGTCACTGGCCCTCATATGTGGGATCCGAACAGGGGCCCTCTGGCATCCCAAGCCAGTTCTTAACCAGCGCGCCACTCAGCCGGCCCACCTAATTTCTTTTTTAAAATTTATTTTTTTAATTAAATTTTTTTTCAATTACAATTTACATTCAGTATTATATTAGTTTCTTGTGTACAGCTTAGTGGTTAGACATTTATATAGCTTATGAAGTGACCCCCCTGATAAGTCTAGTACCCACCTGGCACCCTACATAGTTATTACAATATTATTGACTGTATCCCCTGTGCTATACTTTACGTCCCTGTGACAATTTTGTAACTGCCAATTTGTGACATGTCCAGTATTATTCTCAGTTTCCTCTTCCACTTCATCCCTGCTGGGCACCATTGTCTAGGGACAAATGTGTCACCTAATTTCTTAAACATAGTAATCATAGTTTTTTTAAAGTTTGTGTCTGATAACTCAAATATTTGCATCACTGTTGGGTTTATTTGTATCATCTATTTTATCTTGGTTTCTTTCATCTGACTCATGGTAACCTGAGATTTCTTTTTAATTTTTTTTTATTAGTTTCAGGTGTACAACACTGCAATAGTTATACTTTTTACCCTTCAAAGTGACAAAACCCTACCCCCAATCCACTGCCCCACTCCCCCGGCATATCATATGTATTTATTACAATTTCATTGACTCGACTCCCACACTATACTCCACGTCCTGTGACTATATATATATATGTGTGTATATATATATATATATATTAAATTATAGTTGACATACACTATTATACAACATAAGCTTCAGGTGTACAATGCAGTGATCAAGCCTCTACCCCATCCATGATGCGGTCTCCCTAACAAGATGTGACCATCAGACACCCTCCAAATTATTTACAACATCATTAATTATATTCTCCAAACTGTCTTTCATATCCCTGTGGCAATATTGTAGTTACCTATTTATGCTGTCTAACCCCTTCCCCTTCTCCCTCATCCCCTCCCCCTCCCAACTAGCAGCCATCAGTTGTTCCTCTATATCTCTGAGACCACTTCTTCTTTTTTTTTTTAATTTTTTAAAAATATTTTTACTGGGGAATTGGGGGCATGGGAACAGC